ATTCTGTCTCCAGCAAAGTACATTTGCACTATTTACTGTTAACACTCAAAACTACTCTGTGAGGTCTGTTTAGTTGTTATTCCCACTTTAAAATACAGAAACTGAGGCTCAGGGAAGCGAAAAGCCTTGCCCAGAGGCCCACTGTCAGAGAGAGGGACTTGAACTCAGCTCTTCTGTCTCTGAGATACATTTTCTTCCAGCCTGCCTTCACGCCATGTTCCTTCCACCCCATTTACACATCTTACATTTCAACAACTGTACTTCCTCCTGTGTTTCTTACTGCTTTTGGGCAAGGGAGGGGTTTCTTCTGATTTCCTGTTGTCTGTCCTTTTACACTCTTTTGCTATTCTGGCTTCTTCCCATGACACGGATGAAAACATGGCTTCAAATCTATTTCCTGTAATTTACCAATTTCCCCTATCTCTTCATATTGTTTACTAATGCTATTTGCATGTTTCATTTATTTAAATGCTATGTCTTACAAATTACTTGAATAAATAACACGTTACTAAATACTAAAGCTAGTTGATATCTTTAAAACACTCACAAAGGGTAGTTTCTAAAATGTAATTGCTGTGAAGAGTAACTGACTGTTTCTTTGATGACTCTTTCTACCATTGGGTACTCTGGGATCCTCTCATTCACTCACTGTTTCTCCTTAAACCTCTGCCCTCTCTAGTCCCTGGTTTCCCCTTCCAGGTGCATCACCTGGGCCTTTGCATGCTGTTTCACTGCAGTGATTCATGACTCCTCTAACTGTCCCGTCCCCCTGAAGAGAAGACAATCGGGGAGAGGGCGCTTCAGTGTACAGGTCAAATGTTCAACTGGCTTGCCTTGCCTGTTCACAGTGGCTACATCTACTGCTATTTACAAACCAAGCAAAGACGTGTACCCAGATTTTTTTTAAATTTTACAATTCTGAAATTCATATTTTATAAACCAGATTCTGAAAGGAAAAGTAGAATGAATATAATGTCACACACGATAAAGGAACATTGGGAGGAGCCCACAGGAAATAGCAAACCAACCCCAAACCCCAAAATAGCACCTGCATTTGGTAAATGCTAGGACCTAGAGGAAAGACAGGAAAGAAAGAAAACATCAAAATGGATGTCAGAAGAGGCTCTGAAAGCTGCTCCTGAACAGAGAGTACCTAAAGCAAATGGAAGAAATGATGAAGTAAAAGAGTTGAACTGAAGATTTCAAGGGGCAGCCTGAGAAGACAAAATAAAGTATTATAATGAAATGTGCAAAGACCTGAAGTTAGAAAACCAAAAGGGAAGAACACGCTTGGCATTTCTCAAGCTGAAAGAACTAAAGAAAATTTTCAAGCAATATTGATGGATTCTACGGGCAAAATATTGAATGATGCAAGAAGACGCGTCAAAGGAGACAGAAGGAATACACAGAGTCACTGTACCAAAAAGAATCGGTTCACAATCAACCATTTCAGGAGGTAGCATATGATCAAGAACTGATGGTATTGAAGGAAGAAGTCCAAGCTGCACTGAAGGCATTAGTGAAAAAGAAGGCTCCAGGAATTGATGGAATACCAACTGGGATGTTTCTACAAACAGATGCAATGTCGGAAGCACTCGCTCATGTATGCCAAGAAATTTGGAAGACAACTGCCTGGCCAACCGACTAGAAGAGTTCCACATTTGTGCCCATTCCAAAGAAAGGTGATCCAACAGAGTGTGGAAATTATTGAACAATATCATTAATATCACATACAAGTAAAATTTTGCTGAAGATAATTAAAAAATAGTTGCAGCAGTACATTGACAGGGAACTACCAGAAATTCAAGCCAGATTAAGAAGAGGACATGGAACAAGAAATATCATTGCTGATGTCAGATGAATCTTGGCTGAAAGCAGAGAATTCCAGAAAAATGTTTACCTGTGTTTTATTGACTATGCATAAGCATTTGGCTGCGTGGATCATAACAAATGATGGATAACGTTGAGAAGAATGGGAATTCCAGAACACTTCATTGTGCTCATGCAGAACCTGTACACAGACCAAGAGGCAGTCATTCGAACAGAACAAGGGGATACTGCGTGTTTAAAATCAGGAAAGGCGTGTGTGTCAGGGTTATATCTTTTCATCATAATCAGTCTGTATCCAAGAAGCTGGACCACATGAAGAACACGGCAACAGGACTGGAAGAAGACTCATTAACAACCTGCAATGTACAGATGACACAACCTCGCTCCCTGAAAGTGAAAAGGACTTGAAGAACTTACTGATGGAGATCAAAGACTACATACAGCCTTTGGTATGGATTACACCTCAACATAAAGCAAACAAAAATCCTCACAACTGGACCAATAAGCAACATCATGATAAATGGAGAAAGACTGAAAATACTGAAGTTTTCAATCGAAAATATTGAAATTATCAAGGATTTCATTTTACTTGGATCTACAATCAACGCCCATGAAAGAAGCAGTCAAGAAACTAAACGACATATTGCACTGAGCAAATCTGCTGCAAAAGACCTCTTTAAAGTGTTAAAAAAGCAAAGATGTCACTTTGAGGACTAAGGTGCGCCTGACCCAAGCCATGGTATTTGCAATCGCCTCAGATGCATGTGAAAGCTGGACAATGAATAAGGAAGACAGAAGAAGAACTGACACATTTGAATTATGGTGTTGGCAAAGAATATAGAATACAACATGAACTGCCAAAAGAACGAACAAATCTGTTTTGGAGGAAGTACAGCCAAAATGCTTCTCAGAAGCAAGAATGGTGAGACTTTGTCTCACATACTTTGGACATGTTATTAGGAGGTACCAGTCCCTGGAGACAAACATCATGCTTGGTAAAGTAGTGGGTCAGTGAAAGAGAGGAAGACTTACAAGGAGACAGACTGGCACAGTGGCTGCAACCATGGGCTCAAACATAGCAAAGATTGTGAAGATGGCGCACCACTGGGCCAATATACACGTTCTGTTGTATACTGGGTTATCGAGAGTTGCAACTGACTTGATGGTACCTAACAACAACAACAAAGGACCTAGAGCTCAATTTGAACAAATGAAACACAGTCTTGTAACCACTCAGGAATGCCTTGGTGCTCTCTTACCACAGGTCAAATACCAACAATGTGAAGTTCATAAGGGGCAATATTTCTAGAATATTTTCATGACATTTATAAAAATGATTGATTTACCTATACAAAGTGAACTGTGTATAGTTTGTTACTCTCCAGGAATTAGCCTCACTTTCAGTTCTCTAAAGGATGCCCACACAACGATTATGGCTTCATGCTCTACAGTGATTTCGGTGAGAGGTCAACAAGTTTCTCTGTAATGTCCCTGAGCTGCCCATCTCTGATATCTGGGCCCTCAGTTCACTGCAATGGTTCATGAATACATATCCATATAATTTCTTTGTCTCTTGGTCTCGGAGCCCCCTGCTTTATGTTCACAAGCAAGTGTACAAGGCTTCCCAAACTTGCATGATAAAAATTTACAAAGGTGGCATATGAATGGCACCTTGGCAAATTTTTATCATACATGTTCTGTCATCAGCTTAATATTTTTATTTTGATTGCCTTTTTAATTTATATAAATGTGTCTGGAAAGAAACATTTATAGTAATACAGTGTGATAAAACAAGTATCACTTGCAATAAGTAGAAGACAATCTTACAGATAAACACGTACATTTCAAAAAGCACGTTCTTCTATGTTCCAACTTTGGGAAACCCTGAAATTATTAATGTAGCTGTCCTACATGATTCACAAGTGTTACTTCTCTTCCAACCTTTCTCTAAAAAGCAGTCATTTTCTAATAGGAAAAAAATAATTGATCAATGCATTTGTTTTCTTGGTTTATCTACACCAAATGGCATCAGCCATTATCCCTGTTGGTTTGGGCAACTAATTTTATAGCTAAATTAAGTATACATATATATTACACATGTATATAACCGTTATATCCAAGGACAACTTGGTTTGTCAGACATGTGAAAACACACAAAGCATGTTTCTTAGCTATTGTATCAGGATGTCCTATAGACAGATGACCACAGTGACATTTATAACCCTGAGAACATGACATATGTTTGCCCTCTCTGGCTGTGGGGGCTAATGTAGCTGATCCACATGTGACCCATTCTGCCTCATTTCTACCTCATGTACCCTTCGTGATATTCTTTGGTGCCAGAAGAAAGTAGGTATTCTAAGGAACTTTTGACTCATTAGCTCATGAAAATATGGTACAGTAGAATAAAAACTACTCTGAGTCAAAAAATGAAGATTCTCATTCTGACACTGCTATTTGACCTTGGTTAATGCACTGAACTTCTCTGGGCCTCTGTTTTCTTGTAATACAGAGGGGTGGACTAAGTTTGCTAAGCATAAACTGTAGCATGTGTTAAGTTAACCACTGCAGAGACTGCTGATGCTCTTATGCCCAGTCCTTTTATAAAAAGGGTATGTAAAGGTTTGATAAGACATATAATCTTGATTTTTTTCTTTATGTTAAGAAAATTTCCATTTATAAGACTTAAAACTTTGACATTTAAGCAACGCTCTTATTGCTCAGTGGAATAACATAAAATGGTCAGATGTGGTTCCTCTACCTTAAAGATCTAAAGATAAACAGCTCTACTGCCATAACACATAAAATGTATAATTTTCACTATCTACAATGCGTAACATTTGATATTCCCGCAAGCACAGTGAGGACAGAGGACAGTGACAGTGATGTTTGTGCCCATGTGGCAGGAAGAGCTCCTCAGATCCGCCATTTGGTGTGTGTGGGTCTCTCGGCCACGTTGAACTGTGAGTGTCTATCCTCTCTGCGACAAGAGGACCCCATCCTGCTGATATTTATACTCTATTTCTTTAAAATGATGGTTGAGGGAAAACAGCAGATAAAATGACTCATGACACTTGGTCACTCTCTTTTGAAGGATGTAGAGACACAGGTTTCACAGGAGAAGAGCATGCAATAGCCTGCAAAAAGGATACCAGGATCAGCTGACTTACCCACACCTCTCTCGTTCTTGGAATTCTGCTGCCCTCCCGAAGTGGTGGACAGGTCCTCAGGGACAGGCATGGGCTCATCACCATCATCCGGAGTATCACTTATGGGAGGGCTTTCCTTCCCTGGGGAGACAAATAGCAGCTTGAGTTCTGGTGGTCCATCATCACCAGCAGGGCAGGCCCCCAGGGAAGCTCAAGATGCCTGGGCTTCACCTGGGCTTGGTTAGAGACAGGGTGAGGCTGCCTGAGGAGGTGGTGATTGGATTGAGTTAATGCTTCTCTACTGGGGTGAACACACATTTTTCTATTTATAAAATAGACAGCAGTTATTGCCAAAAAGAGGCGGGGGGGGGCAGGAGAGGGGAAGGAAGAGAGAGATAAAGAAGCGGGGAGGGGGAAGGAAGGGAGAATATAAATGAGATAATGGGGAAAAAATCCAGTCCTAGACATTAACACTATTAAAATTATGGTGTGTGTGTGTATGTGTGTGTACACTTTATATATTATTGATAACATATGGAGATGCATTTTCTTTTTCAAAATAAATTGTGCTTTTTAAGCATTTGGGCATTTATTGCCTTGTGGACATTTTTCCATGCCAATTTATTTTATTTACACTGGCTGTGTAATATTCCCCTGCACAGGTAGACCAGGATTTATTTAAATCTTTTTTCTAATTTTGAATCTGTATTTTTTATCAATTCTTTTTTATTATTAAACAACCCTGTGATGAACATTCTACTAGCTAAATTTGCACATATCCTTAATAATCACCACAGTATAAAATCTCCAGGAGTGTTATGGCTGGGTTGAAAGCCATCTACATTTTTAGGGCTCCTGACATATTTTGCCATTTTTTTCCTCTGGAAGGTAATTCCAATTTTCCTCCATCAAGCCTGCTTTTACTATACCCTCCTGTTATTTTTTTTTAAGGACACTAGACTGGACATCCTGCTCAAAGCCACATATTTTGGGTAGTTTTCTCACTTTGTTTTCATTGGCTGGGGAGTGTTCTGCCAACTGCCTAATTTGATTTAACTTGGTGGGGAGAAGAAGCTTGGAGAGGAGAATGGACAGGAAATCTCATGCCTGCTGTGACAACGACTGCCTCCTTGTGTCAAAGAAAGTCTGCCAACATCAACTCTTACCTCTGAAATAGGAAAGTAGTTTTCCACACGAAACTACCATTGCTTATACTTCATGAAGTAGAATTTACCAAATAGAATTACGATTTTATGGGATACTTGTATTTATTTTGACGTAACTAGAATTAAATTTGACCAGAGCCTTCAGCAATGGGGAATTCACTCCCACTCCAAAGAATCCAACATCGGGAAGTCATGAGTGGTAGTATATGCCTTTTCCACTTAAGCTGAAACCTGTCTCCTATAGCTTCCACCTTCTAGACCTAATTTAAAACTGAGTTACTGAGTTAAGAGACATAAATCACATGCAAGAAACAGCTGGTGAAGACCTCAGTGGATGCAAAATAATCCATTATAACCGCCTGCAGAAGACTCATCTAGATTAAGATCCTAAAGAAGGATCTTTAGACTGGCATTTCATGTTTGTGACTGAGATGGCAACCTGGTTTACAAGCAAAATGAGATTCCCACACAGACAAACCCAGACTTTTGGGAGAGTGTGCAAATGATGAGGCAAACGTTCAAGTGTCTGGTAAACATGTCTAGATATAGTGTAAAATGTTCTTATTTGTTTGAATAAAGCTCCCGAAGAGTGACACCAACATTTTAGAGGATTGGCAAGACCGGTACAATCATCCCCAATGTATAAAACCTTTACTGGAACAATTTAAAATAGAACCTCCACAGGCACTGAGGCTATGCTTTGGGGAATAGCGTTGCATTCTCTAGGAAAGAAACATCACGATTTAATATTCTAGCTTAGCTGTAATTACCACGATTGGCATATTTTCAGAAAGAGCATTATTGGGTATGTATGGATAGCCAATACAAGATGAAGAGTTAAGATGGGTCAGGACTACAAGAATTTCCCAAGGAAAAGCAAAATGCCAGAGAAAAATTGATTGAAAGTGTTGAACGTATTACCCTAGAGCCTTGTTGTAAATGTTCATTATGTCAGTAATAGTTTTCATTGCCCTAAACAGAAGACTTTAAAAGTAATGACAGCGAAATGTTATAGTATTATTTTCACAAATTATTTCATAAATGGAGGAAAACTCTGAATAGGTGAATAAAGGAGCTATATTGAACCATGTGATGACTCTTATTTTCTTATAAAATGACTAGTCTAGAGCAGTAGTTTCAAACACTGGGAACTTTGGTCGGGGAGGAGGTCAGAGGACTCTTTTTTTTTTTTTTTTGGTAAGAATAACTGTAGACAGAATTTTCTAAGACAGGTGTTCTATTTAAAGGGGGATCACTGCAGGCTGGGAAGCTGGAAGATCCAAAGACCCAGGCCACTTGCCTTCTAGAAGAACCCCTAGGGTACCTCCACAGAACTCACAGTGAAGACCACTGACCTAACAAACTAATCCAGTGACTAAATGTTTATGGCATGTATGCTGTGTCCATGCATGCATTTGTGCTTAAAAAGCTGTCATGGGGAGGCTTTCTTATTATTATTTCTTATTATGATCTTCCCTAGTATAACTCTAGAGGACTCCATGATGCTTTGGGACCAATTTAAATAACCATGGCACCCTGGACGAAAGGGAGGATCATAAAGAATCAGGACCTATCCCATGAAGGAGTGCCTGCCTTTCTGCTCAATTCATGCCAAAATACAACCAAATAACTCTTGATTACTTATTATTTTTGTAATTTAATTGATCTGTTTGTTAGTTAACAACATCATCTACAAGTTGTTGAGGATGTTCGTAAGAGTAGATGTGCTTCTTAAGAACTTTATCAGTCTGGAGATTTCTTGCACTGAATTAAATGCTAGCTCTCCAGTTTCCCTATCTTACATCTCAGAACTTTTGTTTTCTCTATGTGGGAAAAAAAAGAATAATGCAAACAGTAGGGGTCAAGATGCTAAAATACCATGGATCAGATGTGATCGATAGGAGCTCTCTATGCAGAAGGAACACATGGGGAGAAGAGGGAATAAAAATTAGCCTCAGTGTGTACAGTGACAGCAAGTCAGAACTGGAATATAGCAACGTTATATATGTTTACATGCCCTCCAAGAGTTCTCTTTAATTCAACCTTGTTTGGCCTTATCTTGGGGATTGTTTTTAAGAAGTTTTTAAGAAGTCATCTGATTTGCCTAAAAGCCCCTGAAGTTTGAGTCGTGGTTGTGGGGACATTAACCATGCACGTGAGTCTTTGTGCCCTGGGACCCCTGTGTTCTCTTACTGCTGGAGATTTTATGCTGAAAATTTACCACTTCATGAAAACCTTCATGGTAGGCAAAAATATTTTTACATGTGGATTTTTTTTAAAAACTTGGCCATTTAACCATTTAGAATGCAAAAATCATACCAAAGATTATAAGAAAGAAAAAAAGACATAAAATTATTGAGTAAACACATCATGAATATTAGCACAGGGTGACTGGGAGTTAGTTGACCTTAGGTGTAGCTCTGGCTTGATCAATTATATGACTTAAGAGAGCATGGGAGCCCTGGTGGTTAAGTGGTTAAGAGCTCAGCTGCTAACCAAAAGGTTGGCAGTTCAAATCCATCAGCTGCTCCTTGGAAACTCTATGGGACAGTTCTACTCTGTCCTATAGGGTCAACTATGAGTTGGAATCAACTCCATGACAACGGGTTTGGTTCTTTGGTTTCTAAGGGAGCATGAGACAAACCACTTCTTTCCTCATGTGGGTAACAAACACAACTTTAGCCTCACTCGTGGTTGTTGTGAAGATAAAATACAAAAATGTGCATGAATTTGAATACACTAAATAAACTTAAGGTATTATAAATGCTAACATACTATATACACATAAGGTATGTGTTGAATCAAATACCCATATTTTCCCTAAGTGCATGTACAATCATATATGCAAATACACTGCATTGTAGACAGTAAGAAATCGGGTATTTAAATTGAATAATTTAGAAGGTGTAATAAAATTTCACTAATTTAGAAAAATGAAGGAAATTTCTGCCTAAATTATAAATACACCCAATTTACCTATGCTTCAAATGTAGTTCTTGGGTGATGCAAATGGTTAAGCGCTTGACAACTAACCAAAAGGTTGGCAGTTTGAACCTACCCAGAGGTGCCTTGGGAGAAAGGCCTGGTGATATGCTTCCAAAAGATCAGAGACATTTAAAACCCTATGAAGCTGTTCTACTCTACAACACATGGAGTCTCCATGTGTCAGAATCAGCTTCAAGGCAACTGACTTTTTTTGGTTACATTTCAAATAACGCATTTCTTATGCGACCTTTTTTGGGCAAATTAGGTGTGAACATTTTATAATTCGCCCATCAACTGCAAGTAAATTATTTTTCAAGTAGATTATACTTCACTGAAATGCATGAGTTTTTATCATACATTCACTTAGGAGAACATACTTTCTGGAATAAATAAAAACTCAGAATATGGAATCTCATCTCTACAGAATGGTGGAAAAGTATGCATGCCAGAGACCACGGGCTGACACCCCAGAGCCATCTTATCTCCCTATGGGACTTCTGGTCAGTTACTTAAATTCTCTGAGCCTTAGCTCCCTGTAAATTGAATATAACAGCTGTATCTTCTTCATTGTGTTCTTATACGGTTGAAAGGAGACAAATGCTTATGATAGTGTCTGGTAAATATGAAGTATTCAATGTTATTTACTATGATTAACTAGATAAAATATTTCTACTGATACTTATATAAGCCTTATTTCCCTCAACAGATTATATATGTCTAGAGGGCACATTTCTTATTTCCTGGTTCCAACAGACACATTATAAATACCATTTAGAAAACATCCAATATATATTTAGGATCACAGGAGCCAGAGGGACCTTGGAGATCAACTGATTCAAGTTCTTCATGTTACAGATGATACTATAGTAGCCCATGAGGTAGAGAATACTATCTTAGGTCCTATAGTTGGGGCAGAGATGGGACATTGATACAGGTCTCCCCATTTCCTCACTCTCCACTGTCACAAGCTAACTCTTCCTATAGAAACCAAAATAAAAAATAATGTACATGCATGAAAAACAGTTTTGAAAGATTGCTAAAAAACAGTAATAATAACAAAAGGAAGGAAGGAAGGGAAAGAGGGTAGGAATAAGGGAAGGAGAGAGGGAGGGAAAACTTCCGAAAAGAATTGGTAAGGCATTCCCTAAATGAAACATAGCTTGCTTTTAGATATACTCTCCCCTGACCCACGCATGTGTCTCCTGCCAACACATGTGAACTCATGTCAGTAAATATATGTGAGTGTCTACTGTCTGCAAGACACTGTACATCCGGACACAGTCCCCATTTAGGATACATCCTAGGGAGGAAAACAACCGGATGGTCTGAAAAAAGTCAGATGCTAAGTATTTCTCCAAGAAAGGAGAGTATTTCACATAAATTAGGTTGAACCATATGAGACTGCTGATGTTTGAACGTTTTTTATCTATGAAAATGGCAATTTCATATAGTTCAACTTAGAAAAATTATTTTTTCTCTGCTAAATATTTGAGTATTTTAAAAACTAATTTTGCCTTTTGATTAAATACATGTATTTTTGTTGTACTTTAGATGAAGGTTTACAGAGCAAATCAGTTTCTCATTAAATAATTAGTACACATATTATTTTGTGACATTGGTTGCCAACCCCATGACATGTCAACATTCTCCCCTTCTCAAACATGGGTTCCCCATTACCAGCTTTCCTGTCCCCTCCTGCCTTCTTGTCCTTGCCCCTGGGTTGGTGTGCCCCTTTAGTCTTATTTTGTTTTTCTTTTTTTTTCTGTTTATTGTAGTTTAAGTGCAAGTTTACATTTCAAGTTAGTCTTTTACACAAAAATTTATACATTGTTATGTGACCCTAACTGCTCTCCCTATACTGTGACAGCACACTCCTCCTTTCCACCCCTTGTCCATTCAACCAGCTCCTAACCCTCTCTGCCTTCTCATCTCACCTCCAGGCAGAAGCTGTCCATTCAGTCTCATGTATCTACTTGAGCTAAGAAGCACACTCTTCATGAGTATCATTTTATGACCTACAGTCCTGTGCAGTCTTTGTCTAAAGAGTTGGCCTCAGAAATTGTTTCATTTCTGGGCTGATAGAGAATCTGGGGGTCATGCTTTCAGGGGTTCCTCCAGTCTCAGTCAGACCATTAAGTGTAATCTTTTTACTAGAATTTGAGTTTTGCACCCCACCTTTCTCCTGGCTCCATCAGGGCCTCTCTGTTGTGTTCCCTGTCAGGGTGGTCATTGGTGGTAGCCAGGCACCTACTCTTGTTTTGTTTTACGGGCTTGTCTAATCTTTGGCTGAAGGGTGAACCTCAGGAATGACTTCAGTACTGAGTTAAAAGGGTGTTTGGTTTTTTTTCTTTCTTTCTTGTAGACAGAATATAACAACACAGAATAATTGTATGGGAAGAGACTGATTCAGTAACACATCACCTCAAATTTCATATCAAAAATGTCAGCTATTGTTTATCTGAATGTATATCTTTATCCCATAACTAACTGTCCACTTCCTCCAATTTCAGAAATGGAAAAAAAAAAAAAAGTGATGTAATGGTTGGTCTTAATTGGAGAAGTGGCAACCTTATTCTAAGAAGCAGAAAAAGTATCCTTCAAATCTTCCCTCTGTTAAAGTGACACAGTTCTTTAAATACTCTAAGCACTGTTTAGAATGCTCAAAGTTTACCATAACTCAAAAGTATTATTAATGTTTTAGAAATACTAACTCCTTCGCTAAGTGTATACAAACTACATTTCACACCAAGCCTTAAATCTTTTTCAACCATAAACAAGTTTCTTTTTTCAGGAAGTCTTGTGTAATAAGAGTTCTCTTCACTCTTGCCCTCACCCCCCGGCTACTCTCCCCTTCAAACAGACACAGCCCAGGACGAATTAAGTTTTTCCGCATAAAGCTAGAGAGGGCAAGAAAAATGTCAGAGGAAAATGAGGCTTTTGTTATTTCTGATACTGAGAGGTAAGATAAAAAATTTGGCCAGCTGTTCCTCATATAAAACATTCTAGAGATGGCTACCTAGGCTAAGGCATTCAGACTTCATTGTAGGACATCAGAGTGTAGACCCTTGATCAAAGTGATCTCATTTTCTTCAAATGTGTCACACAAAATACTGATTTAGAAGCTAAATATTTATCAGTGTTAAAGCAGAAAGAAGGCACACAAGAGGCAGTAGAGAGCGACACTTTTTTTTCCCAAATAACTAGATTTTTTTTTTTTTTAAGAAACAAAACGTGAGCTTAAGGGGGAAAAAAATCAAATAATACTGAAAGGAAGTAGATAAAAAGCAAAAGTCTTCCTCTTTCTCCCTAACTTACCTCTTCCTTCCACCACTGTGTGTATGTAATTTGTTTTCTTTTTAAAGACTGGGATCATACTCTGTATACCATCCTGAAACATGTTTTTTTTATTTTTTATTTTTACTTGAACACATACCTTGGGCATCTTTCCATAGTAGTACATTTATTTATATTATCATCATTTTTAAGAGCTATATGAAAAAGTGCATGGATGTGCCATAGTATTTTCTTCTTAATAATTGGGGGCGGGTCAGCAAAGGTACAAACAACATTGACAGACCACTCTCAGACAGAGGCCAGCCTTCTGGGATTGACTATGAATCTGTGAAAGTCTAAAATAGAAAATCTTGAAACTTCCAGAGCCCACTGAAGCCACTGCTCTTCACATCTCTGGTGCGAGGCTAAAAGTGGACCTCTGGGACCTATGAATATGTGTACTGCGCAGGTTTCGATAGGAGATGATTCCTCCCCCTCAGAGAAACCCAACGGGACAGTCTGTGCTCCATCTCTGGGTGTCACCTCCAGTTGTGTACTTCCCCACTTTGTGGGTCTCTTACAATGAGCAGGGCTATTCCTAACACGGTTTGAAAAAACACACGTGTTTATGCTAATGAAGGAAGAAAAACTCAGACTAGGTGGGTGAGAATGGTTGCACAACTCGAAGAATGTAATCAATGTCACTAAATTGTACATGTAGAAACTGTTGGAATGGTATATGTTTTGCTGTATATATTCTCAACAACAACAAAATTTTTCAAAAAACATGGTAAAGAGAAGAAATGTTTCTATGTTCAACAAATATTCTGAATTGTACTCCAAACCTATGTTGTCCAAGTTACTTCCTCTCTCTCTTTTAAATACCTCCCTGGCACGTGTTTGGGGTCTAGGGTAGATCAACCAACCTTTTTTCCCAAGAGTGCAAACACATGTTTAATCCCTCCTAAGTTACTACCAGATTTAACAGCAGAACTGATTTTATCTTGGAAATTCTTCTGTTAAGTTCTTCAAATTGAGATAATTGCTAACAGCTGAAGTTAAATATGGACAGACAGTTCATCTCGGTCTTTTCCTAGGCAGAAGAGCCCATCTTCCTTTCCCATGAGCATAAGAAGCACCTTGAGTTCTGACACCCTGTGGGGCAGTCCTCATGGTCTCCCCACGCGGTTATCTTATAAGGGTCTCACCTGAAATTTGGGACATATCTTGACCGTCATCAGCTTCCATTGTCCTTAGGGTATCTGAGAAAGAGAGGAAGGGGTTTTAGTTTAAAACAAAACACTATTAAGATATGAAAGAGAGAGAGAGAGATAAAGAAACTACATGCTATTTAACAAGAAGGTTATCTACCAAGAATAATGCATTTTCCTCCTTACATACTTGCTGGAGTATCAGACTGGCGCAGACCTTGATCCTTTTAAAAACAGCATTACAAAGATTTATAAAAATATCATTACAAGCACAGGAGGACCAAATTTGTTATTTATTGTTAATTTCCTACTGCATAATAACCCAAAATGCAAACTGACTGCAACAAAATTAAGCAGAAAATTAAATGGCCCTGGGTCATTGTAGGCACAGAATTCATTCTCTTGGCTGATCCATAGTTATGTTCTTTCTAATTTACTGAGCATGCATCGATGAACCTTGAGTCAGCTTGGTGACACGCGTACAATCAGCAATCAAAAAACTAAGCAATTTGCTGAAGAATGTCTCATTTACCCAGGCAGGGCTGCATATCTGAGCAGCAACCACACTACCTCCATCAATAATGAATACACCTCCAGCCTGGCAGATGGGCCACGCCGGCGCTTCCGTCTTTGTCCCTCACTCTTTCAGGACCCTTGCCTCAGACTTCACCAGTCTTCTTGCACAGGGAGAAGTGAAGCTCACGATAACAGCAAAACAAGCCCAGGAGAGGAGAGGGGCCCAAACCTTCCTGTTCTGCTGACAGATGGCTGGCTCCTCAGATTGGTTTAAACACAAACATAGCTGGGAAGACGTTGCTCTCCTAGCGCACCAGTGAATGCTCCACAGCCGCATCGTAAGCTCCCTCAAACACCAGGGAGAAACCCTGCGCGTTGGTGCGGGCAGAAATAAAGCCTTGTGTTGGGTTTTGCACTTGGGGTACTGGCCTGCACCTCGGGGGTCTCAAGTACCCGTTGTCAGTGACATCTGGTAGTTCCATGGAGGAGAAAGAAATCTGTGGCCAGCAGAAGGTAACCTCAGCAAAAGCTGCTCATTTATGCACTGCTAGCAACCTAGATAACTTTCAGAAGAGATACTTCACTCACCAGCAAACTGAGTTTATTTTCTGGATCTAAACCAGGTCACTTTTTTTTTTTTTTTTTTTTGTTTGTTTTTGGCCACCTCTGTCTCCTTGCTTCGGATGTGTGAGTCTGAGCTGTGAGGCCTTTTTCAGTAGACACCTCAGACAGAGAATTCAGATGACCTGACTCTCCAACTAGGCTGAAAACTGTGCAGGCAAGGGCCAGGGGCTGTTCATTTTGTTTTAATATTTTTTAGGGTGCATATGAAATATACGTATTTGTATTTATTTTCAATTTCAGTAACAGCAGTATTAGTCATGAAAAAGGTATGACTGACAGTCACTTTACCTGGATGAGGAGAGACTGTCCTCTATTTCTGAGAGTCACTTTAACTACTCTGAAAGGCAACATGAATTTTCAAGGCTGGTGGGTGATTTAAGGGTATAGTCTGTGACCACAGAATAGACTCATGGCCCACGTGTGGTTCAGTTCCAAGACCGAGGGTCCTCATGAACATACTACAGCCAAACAAACCAGCCCCAGAAGCACATGCAAACACACATCTCCCCTCCCCCATCCCAGAACCAACATCCTCCCTCCCCCCTAAGAAGCACATGTTGCATAACTGACCTCACTCACATTTTCATACACATTCTCCATCAGCCCTACTCTGACCTCAGGCCGGCTTCACAGGTGGTGGCTTCACGCAGTTGCCCAGGGCCCCACGTTTAGATGGTGTCGCGCTTGGTCTAACATTCTGCCATGGCCATTGTGAAGTTGCCACTAATTTATGAACAAGGGGCCTCTGCGTTTTCATTTTCCGTGGGATCTGCAAATTCTGCAGCTGGTCCTGTCTGACACTGTGGGGAGTGACTCCACCAGCTCCCTAATTTTCCCCAAGCTCCCAATTTGCATCTCTTGTGACGAAAAAGCAATGACTTGTTGGTAAAAATGGCTCTGCTTTTACGTATACACCAAAGGAAGAATCCAACTATGAGAAACTGCTTGAGGGGAAGTACATTCAGCCTCTTCCAAGACAGGAGCTACAAAGGGCAGCCCTATAGTGTCTTAAAGGGCAATGAAACGCTCTCCCACCTCTCCCCTCCCCGTTCAGCCCAGTTAATACATGTAAGACCAGGCTCTTTATTTACTTCTATAAAGCACTTACTGGGCCCTCTTGTTCTACATGGAATCAGCGCACAGTGTCAAGGAGAAAATGGAATTTATGCCTCTGTCCAATATGAGGAGCCATGGTGGTGCAGTGGTTAAGTGCTCAACTGCTAACTGAAAGGTTGGCAGTTTGAACCCACCAGCTGCTCCACGGGAGAAAAATGTGGCAGTCTACTTCCGTAAAGATTTACAGCCTTGGAAACCCTATGGGGCAAGTTCCACTCTGTCCTGTAGGGTCGCTGTGAGTCAGAATCAACTCAGTGGCAGTGAGTTTTGGCTTTTTATGGTCTCAGTTATGAAGGAGCTTGCCACCAGTGAGAGATGTTAGCCACAGCAGCTAACTAACGACACATTTCTGCAAACCTCTGTTGTTGTATGCCATAGAGTCAATTCCAACTCATAATGACCCTATAGGACAGAGCAGAACTGCCCAGAAGGTTTCCTAGGCTGTAATCTTTATGGGAGCAGATCACCAGGTCTTTTTTCTCATGGAGCCGTTGTTGGTGGGCTCAGACCACTGACCTTCAGTTAGCGACCAAGCACTTAACCATTACGCCACCAGGGTTCCTTACCTAAATGAAAAACCAAGATCAGCAAGTCTGTAAAAGGAGACGTCATAAGAAAAAATTATATTACAGAAGCATACTGCGATTTTCTACATTGCGTGGGAAACCCAAGCAATTCTACACAAGAGGTAAACATACCAATAATAGGACTACAGTATCAGTAAATGCACTTTCATCTGTGCAAGTCTTATAAACATGAATGCTTTTATTGTTTCTTTGGAGCAAGCAGTTCTGAATCTTGCACAAAGGGAAATAGATGCAGAGATAATGAAGGCCAAGGTGACACTGGCTGTCAGTGGCTGTCCCGTGAAGAGAGCAGAGGAGCTAAGCCTGCTGTCCCAATCCACCATCTGCCCTCTCAGTCAGGATTGATCACTGATGTGGAAGGTCTAAAATCTGTGTTCCCTTCTATCCTCTTCTATCTATCAATCAATCTCTCTCTCTCTCCCTTCCTCCCTCTCCCTCCTCCTGCCCCCATCTTTCCCCCTCTCTCTCTCATCCTACTGATCAAACAGGGTCAACCAGGACTTTCCTAGTCAAAGTTCTACAGACTTAGCTTACCAGTAACTTTAGAGATGGGGGCATGATGAAGATCAAGCTAAAGACCTGGGAAACAGCAAAGCAGACAGACAGCACATCTGGTTCGACAATGACTGCATCGTGGAGACCTGGCATTATTGTTCTGGCATCATCCACTTCTTATGCTGACCCTTTGGGGACAGTGAGGATTGTTTGAAACACCCTCCCTGATCTTCATGCCTCTCTCTTCTCCTCCCACACTTTTGAGGGATTGAAACTTGGCTGTTTCCTGGGGAGAAATATCCAGTAGCCCTGGGCAGTTGTTGCTTCCAAGTGGGGAGCCTGGCCCCTCCTCCTGGGTGGTGTCCGGGTTCCTCGTCTGTGATTTAGCACTGGGCTACGGGATCAGCCAGAGCCAAGCCCAGCCTGCCACACTGGCGGGGGGTGGGGGGTGGGGGGCTCTGCAAGTTTCCTTTAGCTTCCTCAGCTCCCTTCTCCCTTTCTCCCTTTTCCTCCACCGCGAACGCTTCTCTTGATAGTACTTATTCAATAATTCCGATTAGTTCTCTGCAAATACCTGAGTCTGGATTAATGAAGTAAAAATAAAAAATCAGATGCCTGTTGAGAATCCTAACTTTATTACTTTTCAAGCCACACAAATTAATGGCTATTAAAGAACAATTATATATGTGGCTTTTCCAACTTGCTGTAATGCGTGAGTAAGGCCACCCCAAATCAACATATTTGCTGGGAGTGCCCACTGCCATCGAGTGGAGTCAATTCCAACTCATAGGGACCAGGTAGGTTAAGCGTTTGGCTGCTAACTGAAAGGTAGGCAGTTCGAATCCACCAATCCCTGGAAATCTTATGGAGCAGTTCTACTCTGTCCTGCAGGGTCGCTTGCTGGGAGTAGTACTTCTATAAGCTTTAAAAGATGTTAGTTTTCTGAGATTTAAACAACTTTCTTATACTAGTATTTTAAGTTTTTTTTTCTTTTCCCAGCAAATGCCTTTCCTCTCCCCTGACACTGTAAACATGATTTTCTGTCCAGTAACATTTCTTCAGGACCTTACGTGTGCCAGGGAAAGGTAGTAAAGGAAAATATAATAGTACTAGCAAGCATCATTTAAGCAACCTACTATGTGCCTGGCATTTTACAAGTAAACTGTTAGCCTCACAAGACCAGGAACCTCGTCTATCTTGCTTACCATTTTATTTGAGTCCCGAGCACGGTGTCCAGCATAGAGCTAGCTTTCAGGATCTACTTGTTAAATGCGTGTCTTTAA